ACAGAAGATGATCAGTTTATTGCATTGTGCCAGGATGAGTAAAGGCATTTTACCTTTTAGAAAAGGAAAGTATATTCATCGTGCAAGGTACCTTCACCGGTTTATTTACACAATTCAAGAATAATAAGAATGTATTATTTACAGCAGTCTCTGAAAGTTTTCACTAAAAGCTTTTTAATTTATTTGTTCAAATATGGTAAAAACCTTGGCCTGTAAAGGAATTAAAATATCTCTAATTATATTGGAGAAAGACAATGAACTGTGGGAAATCCTAATGTGACCACTAACATTCAATGTTAAGTTTCTCTTTTTAATTAAGTCCCAATTGATACTATCACTTTGATAATTTTGAAATATAAAAAAAAAGCATGTTTTAAAACAAAGATTTGACCATTGGGCAATCACCTTTTATTGGGAGTAAACTCATCCTAAATCTCTGATATTGTTATACAATATCATCAAACTTGTGAAAACAAACAGCCTGCCAGACATACACAAGATGAAAATAGTAATGGGTAGCAGACTCATGTTACACAAGTTGAAGGGCAGAGAAACGAAGAAGTAATCAGGATGGCATTGGGGAATACTTTCCCAAAGCACAGGCGGGATTAGGAATACAAGTTTTATCCAGAAAAATAAACATGATAGATAAGCTGCTGATGGTGGAATAATATTTACAGGAAAATACTAATTCCAGAAATAGGTTTAATGTCTTGTGACCTCTTGAGCTCTCAACACCTGTTTACCATTGTCAGTTTATTTTGGCACAATTCACTTACAACAACAAAAGTCACTGAATCGGTCACTGGTAGCATAGTGGTTGTCGCATCAGACTCATGATCAGTAGACCCAAGTTCAAATCCTACCTTAGGCTGAACATCAAAGGGTAGACCCCCACCCTGGGTGTTGACATGTGCCACAGACTCAATGGGAAGGCCAATTCCACTGTCACTGCGTGATAGATACACCATTTGTAAGTCAACCATTCATGCTCACATGAAATGTGCATTTTAGAAGTGTAGATATCATTTTTTTCTTAGCAGACATTCATACAAAATTGTATGTCCTCTGTGCTTTTGCAATTTAAGGTACCCATCTTTTGATTACATATTTTTGACCATAAATAATAAATTCTGAAATAAGTTGTTTTTGAAGCCATTGAAAGTTGCTTTCAAAATTGCATTTGGTTCTGAAAATTTTAGAATTCACTATTGAAAATATGGCATTTTAGGTATTAAAAAATATGTTGTATTTGAGCCACTTAATCTTGTTAGAGCAGGTGTCTATGCGGGATTGTACATGTATCACTGTAAGGTGGGGATTTAGCATTTGTCAATTGGTGAAATTTGTTAAAATTCACCTAATTTGTAACTGTTTTCTCGGCTAATACTAAAGTTAGTGTGTATATGTGTATGTCCACTGATATCTTGAGAACTAGCCATCACACTTTAACAACAATTTTTAACAAATTTTCATTTAAACTCAAAATAAAACCACAACTGAACGTAAATTTTTAAAAAAATGTGCAAGAATTGAAGAAAAACAAATTGAACAGAATTGTTGTTCTTGCTGTAACGGTGTAGTATTCCCTGAGAAATAGAAAGCAGGTCAGTTTAGTGTTTGTGTGAGAACATGGTCTCTGCAAGCAATTCAACACATTATGTTTGGCAAACAGTGCTACCGGTAAGTAAGATTGATCACATCGTCTAGTACTGAAAGGTGATTCGCGACAAACATTTCTTGAAGAGTTTTTTCAAAGTTTCTTTTGATTATTATTGCATTGCCTGTCAAATATATTACTTATTTGCTTTGCTAGGCACCTATGCTATTGATTCAGTCTTCTCTCCAGCAATTAGTAATCATATTCTGTAGGAGATGTACTTATAGTAGAGGGTCCCTAGCGCCACTAATGAGTACATCTCAGTATTTTGTTCAAAAGGGAGAAAAAATCTTCAAAATCAGAATCTAACTAAACCTGAATTGATTGCTGATGAACTGTAAATATACATATAGACAGGCTACACTTGTGGTGAAATAGGTAAATAAAATTACGGGTACCGGTAGTAGTGCCATTTAGTGGTTAGCGACATTTTGATTTTGAGTTATTTATAATATAAAAACAAATGGTATAGACTGGAGCCAGTCTAAAGTATATTGAGAAACAGGTTAAAATATTAATAATAATTATACAGTAGTGTATGACCTTTAATATTGCTGCTTTCACATTGATGTCGTTTATTTTTTTGTTCATTGGCCTTTAAATTTGACACACAGATGCTGCAATCCATGTTTGTTTATAAATCACCACTGACGTTTTACTTTGCCTGTTAACATGTGTGACTCATATAAGAACTGTTTAAAGTAATAACAACAATTTAACATTGGTTTATACTCTTTAACAGTTGAAAAC